AGAGAGACAAAGACAGAGATTTATTATATATTTATATAAACAGGATGAGAGAGAGGGTTATACAATGAGAAAGGGGGAGAAAGACAGAAATAGGGAACACAAAACATCTGTTAACCCTCATTTAGCCACCTTACAGTTACATATATGTGTGATGTAATTTTGGGATGTAGGTCATGTAAACATTACAGGTTTGTTAGATTTGACAGATTTTAGCCCTTTGTCTAACTTTTTACTTTTGTCTTCTATTTTAACAACACAGATGTTTTTATCTGCCACAGTGCTGAAACAATAAGTCGATTAGTCAACTGATGAAAAAACAATGAGCCTTTTTATCGCACTGAAAGCCAAATTTCGTCCGCTTGTATCTGCGATCTAATTCTGTTGGTCACTACCCAAAGCTCACGACCGTGAGCGAGGGTTGCAACGTAGCTCCACTGGTAAATCGAAAGCTTTGAAAGCTCAGAATTTCTGACAAGAGACAAATTAGTTTGACTTCCTGTCGAGAATTCGGACACAGCTCTCACTCAGGTTACTAAGGACTGGCCTTTGTACCCCATACTCCTGCGGCTCCCCTCCAATGGCCTGGCCTGATATACCACAGGCACTGTCCCCGACTTCCACGGGACACTGAAGAGGTGTGTCAGCCAAGCAGCCCAACAATGTCCAGGGCCTTCGGCATCTCAGGCTATCGACTGAAGATATTCTGACCTACCTGAAAGACCTCTCCAGGGATATGGGTAAGACTTCCCCTGCGTCTTCAGACTCCTCCACAGAGGATGTTTTACTCAGCTTTAGGAGTTACTTGAGGTACAGTAAAGAGCTCATACATATGGAGTAGAGGTGCTGCTTCTTCCCTGTCAAAAGGATCCAGCTGAGGTGGTGCCCCCTGATCCGGATTCCTCCAGGTCGTCTTCCTTTTGGAGGTTTTAACCGGTAAATCAAAAGGTTTGAAAGCTCAGAATTTCTGAGACAAACGTGTTTGACTTCCTGCCGAGAATATGGACATAGCTCTCACTCCAGTTACTTAAGGATGGATGGCTCGTAGCAACGCCCCGGTACCCCATATTCCCACAGTATTCCTGACAAGACTCCCGAGGGGACACAGTCATAAGTTTTATCCAAGTTAACAAAGCACAGAGTCGTCCAGTGACTTCATCTCAAAGAGCTGGTCCACTGTTCCAGGACCACGACCCTCCCCACTGAGGAGCTTCTGAACTACCTCAAAGACCTCTGCCAGGGATATGGGTAAGACTTCCCATGAGTCTTCAACCTCCTCCACAGAGGAGTGCTCTTTGAACTGGGCTAACCCTTGGAGATAGAGAGTAGAGCTCACACATTGGGGTGGTTGGCCCATCTGATCAGGATGCCTCCAGGGCGTCTTCCTTTTGAGGTTTTTTGGGCACGTCCAATTGTAAGAGACCCCGGGGTAGACCCAGAACACGCTGGAGAGGTTATATATCTCATTTGCCTCGGGATCGCCTCGGGATCTATCCCCCAGAGGAGCTGGAAGATGCTGCTGGGAAGAAGGACTACACTAACCCTGCTTCCACCGCAACCACTCCCCGAAAGAGAGGCTGAAAATGGATGGAAGCCAAACCACAAACAAAACAACAATAAAAACAACTCTGAACAGTTAAAGAAAATGTGGTTGGCATTATTATTAATTATGTATTACTATTGCTGTTGTTTTATAGTATGCTGTTTTGACCTTTTAGTGTTGTTTTGATGGTTTTTGCTATATTTTAAGTGTACACAGCTTCGCATATATGAATAGTTTCTTTCATATCATTGTAAATTATACAGTAGAACAGGTTCTTCTATCACACAAGTTACATGTGCCAGGTCGTGTCTCAGAACATAATACCCTATAATAAATCTTAATTAAAATATTACAGTGTAATATATACACACAGTAATATATATATATAATACTATATATAATCAATGCATTAACAGCACATAGCACTTAAATTAACTTATTACATCATAGTTAAATAGACCGTTTTCATAAAAGATAAAGTCCTTTACTGTGACTTTAGCATTTAGCTGCTTCAGTTTCAGGGCTTCGGTCTTGTAGGCTCACCGTCACACTATCATGGCTTAATGGGACACTTCAATATAAAAGAACCAATGTTAATATTATTATTTAAGTCAAAACTGTTGTGAAAAAGGCCAATGTGTAGTCAGTGTTTACTTGGCCACTAAAGTTGATTCTAATTCTGAAACAAAAACAAACAATAACATTTTTTTTATAGCCGATTAAATTACAAATTAGGCAAAGTGGGCAACTGCCTCGGGGCCCCAGACCCTCGTGGGGCCTGAAAGCTCCAGTTTTACCATGAGGCAATTAGTTTGTGGTAATTAAATTAGCTGCAAATGTGTTTGTTATGTATGACTTTAATAACAAGGAAAAAAACTGGTTATTAACTTACAGTGTTTCAGTGTTTTTGACCTTCATCAGGTATTTTATGTATGATGAAGATTTGTAAGTATATATACATATATGAGGTAACATCATATACCTGATGAATTTATTCTTATTATATGAATATATATTAAAATTAATAAATATACCAGCAGTGAGGAAGACAATGTACATGATGTTCTCCTATTTAATTCTGTATGCACCAATAAAACCCATTCAAACTGAACCATCTTGTACAGGAGACCTGAATTTCATTACATTATACTTTTGGGCTTATTAAAGTCACCATATAGTAATAATAAACTCTTAAAGTAAGAGTTGGGGTAAATTGGAGCTAATTTTTTGCCCACTAGTGGTTCATTCTGGCAATTAGAGCCATTTATTGACATGAATTATGTATCTGTGAACTTGCAGTTGGCATTTGCTTTTATTTTTGACAATCTATTGACTAAATATTAATCACAATTATTCGATACAGGTTTTTAACCACAGATTATTAGACTGCATGACGTACATAATGTAAGTTTTACACAATAAATACTTAATATTTTAGGGATTTTATTATGTTTCATGTGTCTTATGCTTTATTAACCCTGCGTTACATGTTTTAAATGTTCCTTTAGAGACAGTGAAAGGTTAAATTTAGGTTGTTCACTGTTGGTTTCTTCATTGGAAAGTTAATTTGCATCCCCACTACATTTGTTTTTGGCTTTTAGAATGACTTTACATACAATGCCACATAATATGAATGTGATAGAAAGAGAGATAGAATATGTGGTCACTGTTCCACAGGTGAGGTTGAGACAGAGATGCACTGATATGCAGTGGGGGGAATGCAGCTATACGCAGGTAGATGCACTCAGTGGTGTTATACAAGCAGATCATACAATCATACAAACTTAACAGGCTTCTTTTTTGACCAATTCAGTGTATATTTCTCCCTGTCGCTTGGCTGTCTTCAAAGTTTAGATCACAATTAATAATCTAAACTTTAGAAAATAATACACTTTCTTACACCCCCTTTTAAATCAAGAAGGGCTCACGACCCCCCCTGTTAACCTTTGGCGACCCCTAATGGTGGTCCCGACCCCCAGGCTGGGAACCACTGGGCTAAATATGCAAGAGTGGGGTTTTAAGTCTACCCACTGCTTCAGGCACTACTACACCAATGCCAGTAGGTATGAACATGTCAGACACATAAGCACACACACTTTAAAAAAACAGTTCTCACTTATGTGTACTTATTTTATTATTATTATTATTATTATTACTACTATTATTATTACCATGTGACTTACATAAACACACTCACATGTACTTTGACGCTAAGTTCTCTCTTATTTGCACTTTTTTATACTACAATCAATCAATCAATCAATCAATCATTTAATCAGACTTTATTTGTATAGCACTTTTCATACAAGCAACATTTAACACAAAATGCTTCACACATTAAACACCCCCAACCCCCAACCCCCCCCACACACACACATAAAGTAAAGTAACAAGTCTACTTTTATTATTTCCCTCCTTTATTGTATAATTATTATTATTATTATTAATGCAAAAGAACATTTACACACACATTAACATTAAAATAAAGTCCTCACTTATTTGTACTTGTTATTTTTTGACCTACAAGTCTACTTTCTTATTCTTCTTATGCATTTTTTTGCTTTATTATTAGTATTTATTGCATTGTTTCACTTTATTATTAGTATTTATTGCATTTTTTAACTTTATTATCAGTATTTATTTGATTTCTTTACTTTGTTATTAGTATTTATTGCATTTTTTAACTTTATTATCAGTATTTATTTTATTTCTTCTTATTATTAGTTTATTGTTTTACTTTATTTGTTTTATTTTTTTTTTTTTTATTATTAGTATTTATTGCATGTTTTAACTTTATTATTAGTATTTATTGAATCATTTTATTATTAGTATTTATTGCATTTTTTTAACTTTATTATCAGTATTTATTTGATTTCTTTACTTTATTATTAGTATTTATTGCATTTTTTAACTTTATTATTAGTATTTATTGTATTTTTTAACTTTATTATTAGTATTTATTGAATCATTTTACTTTATTATTAGTATTTATTGCATTTTTTAAACTTTATTATCAGTATTTATTGAATCATTTTACTTTATTATTAGTATTTATTGTATTTTTTAACTTTATTATTAGTATTTATTTAATCATTTTACTTTATTATTAGTATTTATTGCATTTTTTAACTTTATTATCAGTATTTATTTGATTTCTTTACTTTATTATTAGTATTTATTGCATTTTTTAACTTTATTATCAGTATTTATTGTATTTTTTCCTCTTACAAATCCAGTTTAGTCTTGCTTTAGCACTGCAAATGTTTCCCATGCCAATAAAACCCCTTTGAATTGAATTGAATTAAATTGTATTGAGAGAGAGAGAGAGAGAGTCTGAATGGGGAAGGGCAGAGCGACATAGAGGCAGAGTGCGGGGAGTGCAGAGAGGAGGGAGGAGGGAGGAGGGAGGAGGGAGCAGAGAGAGGAGGGAGGAGGGAGCAGAGAGAGGAGGGAGGAGGGAGCAGAGAGAGGGGAGAGAGAGAGGGGAGAGAGAGAGGAGCAGGTTTCGGCTTACAGCGCATACCACACCAACAGCACCAAAATACCCTAAAACACAGAGCTCACTGGGGGACTACACACCGGGACTACACACCGGGACTACACCTTCAACTGGACCCAACTCCGGACCCGGTTCTGGGGCCCGTCATGGAGCCGGACTGCGGACTGTAGAGAGCAGTAATGTGGATCTGGGAGCGACCATGTTATTAGGTGGGTAGGGGAATGTATTTGGACTGGGACTTCATTAGCTTAGCTAGCACTCGCTCTTTTTTTTTTTTTTTTTTTTTTTTTTCCCCTGTTGCGCTGAATGCTTGCGCTAACCCGGGTTAAAAACAAAACCGGGGTTAGAATAGGAGTCCGGGTTGTTGAATTAACCCGGGTTGTGTTTTTTTGTGTTGTTTTTAAACCCCTACAAGCTTTTATCCCGGGTTGCTAACTAACGCTAGCTAGCTAACTATCCCCCCTCTATGCTAACAGCTAATGTTAGCTAATCGGAATTGGAAAGGTGGGTTTCTCTCTCTCTCTCTCTCTCTCTCTCTCTCTCTCTCTCTCTCTCTCTCCTCCTGGAGTATCAGGGCCGAGCCAGGCCGAGCCGGGTTCCCCCCCCAGAGGAAGCTGATAACCGCCGTTGTGGTCGCGGGTGTTAGCGACGCTGCGTTGACGCATTAACGTCTGTTGGTTTTAATTCAAGCTGGAAACTAACTCCCATAACTCGCTCTGATTACCCGGGTTCGGGTTCGGGTTCGGGTTTGGGTTCGGGTTTGGGGGGGTTAACGTCAACCCTCCCCCCTTTCTCTATCATTGATTATTGATATACAACCCCTGGATAATTATGGATATGTCGTGTGATGATCGATAAACAGGAATTGGGATGAGCAGATTATTTCCTGTGAGAATTCAATCAGAGGAGATTTCCTGATATTTTTTAGGAACTTTTTGTATATAAATCTGTCTTTATACCAATAATACATATTCAATAAGCTGTTTATTTGGTTGTAAGGAAACATTTAGATATTGATCCGAGATATTTTCTGATATTGAATCCATTATAAATCTGTGATGTTGGATTAGAGAAATAAAAGTAAAAGAAAACTTTTTAAAACTCAGATTTTATGCATATGTTGTTGTGTTGACTTCATAAAGCTAGATAAATAAAATAAAGATCGTAATATATCGCCTTGCTTACAGCGTCCCGATGTATCGCAGACCCCTGTATTGATCCACAGCCCTGCCTGGTGACCCCTAGTGGGGGTCCCGACACCCAGGTTGGGAACCGATGTTGTTTTAAACGATATCCAGCCTTTTACAATAGGTTTCAATACAACGTAATGCTACGCTACTTTGAAATAAATGAATAATTCACAGTTTAACGACAGCCCCGACGTTCTCGCTGCTAGCTTTCACACACTGTAACGCAATAAGTTATTTTTATTATAACATTTTAAGTCAAACATTCTTGTTCGAGTATCTTTTTAAAGTGACATAGACTTAATTTTGTAACAAAATGTTTCTTTAACATACAAAAGTTACTCTGTTTCACTTAAAATTACCTTTCAAAAAGCTGCTTAACTGAGTTTGTGTTACTTATAATTGTTGACGGACAATTTATTTCAGTTAAAATAACATCTTGTATGACAGTGTATTATTATTATTCCTTTATAAGTGGCTGGGTTATTCAACGCTAATGTCCTGCTAATCGCTGTCATTAGCATCGGGGGCTGGATGGAGGGTCAGATCCGGGAGCAGACGATTGAATTTTCCGACATTAACGGGGGTGTTTTTACACGTGAACGCCCCGAACGTCTCCGCCGCGAGGAGAAGATGTAACCACAGTTGTCATTAGCAGCTTATTATCTATTTTTAAGTTCTGCGTTCAGCAGTCAGTCGGGTCAGTGGGTTCGTCCTGCTGCAGCTCCCTTTGCCCTTTACCCAAACCCTCGTTAAAGGGAGAGTCCGGCTTTCATCTAACGAGGTATTTCTCCAGCTGTATCCTCATGTAATTATATATTATGAATTATAGAGCTTGTTAAAAGCATCTCTTATCAGTGGGACCTGATTGTGTTAAAAAATAGCAGTTCGTTTCTTTGTTGATTCGATAGGACTCATCATTATCTTCACAGTCAGTAGGTTCTGGGGGGTTTCTCCTCAGCCTTTTCTCTTGAATGGGCTGTTTGTTTAATACTGAGTTGGATATTCTCATCAGCTGTCATGCTGGAAATTTCCTGACTTTCCTAACAGATGATGTGTAAGAAAAGGTTTTAAATGTATACGCAGAGATGCCCCTTTCCAGATATTGATAGAAATGGACAGTCTTTGCCTCTGCATCTGCTCTTAGACCCGTTAAAGAATGCTTATTGGTATTGGCTTATGCTAATATGGTGGGAGATATTCAATACTAGTATCAGCTTCAACAAACCACATAAGGGCACTGGTACCGACACCCCCTGTCTGAGTGACGACATGGTTGACCGCGTCTCAGTCGGCCTATTAACTGTTGTTCTTACATCATCGACACCCCGGGAACAGGAAGTCATATGAGTGACGCTGGGCTTCAGGTCTGGACTTGACTCAGGAGGAGGGTGACATAGTTTTTTGTAAATGAGCTTTGTGCTTAAAAATATCAGGTTTATTTTACGAGAACAATCCAGTTGGGTGGCCTTCACATAGTTCTGAATTGATGTAATCAGAGCTTTATTTGAACTGGCAGCAACAAAGGTGTTTTGTTGAGCAACTGCACGTGAATCGAAAGTGTCACCACAAAGTCTAGTTATAGCAAAATGTCTCCTCGTCCACTTACAATGAGGTGGTATCGCTGTTATTGACCACTTGAAGCATACAGACGGACTATTTCTAGAGCAAATGGTTGGATTCTGGATACTTTTGGAGACGTAACATTTCTGAAAGTTTTAGTAGTTTCTGTGTTGTCTTTAGTTGCTGTAGGTGTAATTCCCCTGATGGCGAAGGGTAGCTGAAATTTAAAACCATGTTGCGCAACTTTGTGAGCCAACAGTTGAAAATTGGCAGCGACAGGCAATGGGTTAAAAAATCTCAAAGTGAGCACCCAGAAATCCTGTGAGGCGGGGTCAGTAAACGTGCCACAGCCCTGGTCTGGCTGGTCTGTCGTGATTTATTCTAAGAGAGGGGAAGAAAATATGTAATGTTTGGGGGGAGATTTTTCTCTGGCTGGAGGAGCTCCCTCTTCACTTAATAGGAGGCGGTTTAGATTTTGCTCTTATGTTTTGATCCATCTCTTCCTGTGGGAGGAGAGTTGTCTGTACCCAAGATCAGAATTTATTTTGAGGAAACGTAATGAATCACTGTGGCGCCTCATTTATGTAGATTGTGTGCTTTTTCTCTGTTGAAGCCCTGCTTTGTGATTTAGGCTTTAGTTTTACCTGAAAATCCAGCCGGGTGCATCTTTTTAAAAGGTCTACCATCCTTGGCGGTGTGTTCTGCTGTGTTTCAGGGCTTAACAGCATTTAGTCATCTCTAAAACCAGCTTGCCAAGTGATACCTTAATCCCCCCTGCAGCCTCACAGTGAATAGACTAATCATGATGCACAAGGCTACTTTTAGCTATTGGTGCAGCACTAATGCAGTTTGGGCTGTAGTGTTGGCAGCGATAGGTGCCGTCACAGGCTCCATCCAGGTGTTTACAGTAGGCCCGTACAACTATCTGGCTACCATTCCTCTCTGCATACATGTTAACTTTTATGTACGAGTCTTATTACCGACCCTGTGTGTTGACAGCAGAGTGGATATAGACTTTTGATATTGGCTGACTAAAATGCAAACCAGATGGTTTGGATTTGGGTGACTGATCTTCTCAAACGCTGTGGTTTGGATGCGAGTCAGGGGAGGAATGTCGGGCTGTAATAATCATTTGGTTTAGTCGATCAACAGAAAATTAATAGATTTCAGTTGTTGCAGGCTAATTGATGGTTTTAATTTACAGCCAAATACAGATCCCAAATTTATCCTATCTGCAGGAAAATGGCTCATTTTGTACAGTTTATGTCAACAATTAAAAAATAAACCAAAACATGATTATCAGTCAGTCTTCAGTAAATAATAAAGGTATGTGCACAGGCTCTGATACACTCATCCCTGGCTACCTGCCTCAGTCAGGTGTGGCACCATGAGGAGGTTATTGTAAGGGGCATGCGGTTAGATCCGTAAACCTGACTGACCTGCTGGTCCGTATGCTCTCTGACATCATCTCTGATATCCTAGGTGTGTTTGAGCTGCTCCTGGTTGGCGGTGAGGAAAGGTGACAAAACATTTATGGCACATTTCCTGCAGGCAGTTGAGCAAATTTTCCATTGTTTTCTCTTATGCAGCAAGTGTGTTTGTACTCTCACAAATGGGTTTTGTGATCTCTTTTATTAGATAATTAAATTCAGCGAGTAATATCCGTGTATCCTCCTTGTTTTGGAATTCTGAATACATTTCCATAAGTGTTTCTTAAGGTTGCTGTAGATCTGCTGAACTCAGAAAAAAGTCTGTTTTCCTTGCTCTCCCAACCCCCACACAGGTGACATCATCACCTTGGCCTCTATAAACAGTCAGGGAAGCCTCATTGCGTCGTCTCAGTGGACTGAATTCCTGCTCTGGTGCAGTTTCTCAGGCTCAGCATGCCGTCGTTGCTGCAGCTAGCAGTTTACAGCTCACGCAGGCAAATTCACTGGCTGATTGCCATCGTTCTGTAAAACACAACAATGACTGCAATTCTCTCTGCAGTTATCAGTTATCAGCCTCTAGTTGGGTCATGCTAGGGTTCCGGCTTATTTGACTGTGACTATTCTAGATAATGCTGACAGAAAGGTTGCGCAGTCAACCAGATGCATGTGTTGCATTTTTTGTTTCTGCAGTCTGTGATGGCTGAATATTGGTGTTGTAGTAGTAGTGAATCATTTCATTTGAGCAGGCTGTTAATGTTGAATAGATGAGGTGCACGCAGCAAAATCATTTCATCCCTCGGATGATCAAGACTGTCATTTAGGATTAATAATCATGACCAGAATATCAAACAAAATATATCATGAGTACGACAGACAAAATAATCAGGATTATGCATTTAACCCTAATCATGTAGCCTTAGGATGTGCCAATGATGATAGCAAATCTGTGAACTGATTTATTTTCTCTGTTTCATTCTCACAGCGAAGCAAATCATTTCTAGGTCAGTGACTGTCAAAGGGCTAGAGTTGCATGCCATTTTTATCCTGCCTCGGCACAAATTGGTTGAAAGCACTCCTTTTTCTCTTCGAGGGGAAAAGTGACATTGCTGAGCACGGCCCGTGATTGAATTACTCTCCCGTTCTCTTATATAAGTTGTACTGTCACTCTTTCATTTTTGTTTTCTCAAAAGTCCAATTTTTAAAACAAAAATTCTCTTGTTTGTCAGAAACCACAAGCGGCTTTTTCATCACATTTTTACATTATGGGAGTTTAAGACCAGCACATTTTATTACTAATACATGCAAGGCCTGTCGAAAACCTTTTTATTAAGCATTTACAATTTGGGAGGTATTATTTTGTGTGATATTGTGTATCTTGTTGTGTATATGTTTAATTTCCTGATAACTCTGTGTAATTCCAGATTAACATGTCTGATTTGTTGTTTTAAATCACCATACCATGCATGCATGTACATGTGTGTCCCAGGGGGATATTCAGAGAAACAAAAAGCTAATTATATTATTTGTGATAAGAAGACGGAAGTGCTCTGAGGACAAATCAGTGCAAATATGTTTTTGTTTGTTTTGCCTTTATCTTTTTCCTAATTGTAAATTCCATGTCTTGCAGGCAGGTGATAAAAGGAGAAGCCGGCTGTTCTATCCCAGCTTAAAGAAGACCCAGGATAGAAAGTGAGAGAGATAAACAGAGTCGGCAGGGGATTCACCACTACCGAGGGAAAATCAGAATGAAAGTGCCTCTGTACCACTGACAAGCAAAACTGGAATGATATCTTGACCCTTTTTCCTGGAAGTGACCAAGTTAACGATGAGTGGGGGGATATAATGGCCAAGAACAAGGATGCGCGCCCCCCGACATTCGCCGTCAGCGTGGTTGGCCTTTCGGGGACGGAGAAAGAGAAGGGAAATTGTGGCGTGGGCAAGTCCTGCCTATGCAACCGATATGTGCGTCCTGATGCGGACGGCTACTATTCGGAGCACACCTCGGTGCTGAGCACAATAGATTTTGGGGGGCGAGTGGTTAACAATGACCACTTCCTGTTCTGGGGGGATGTGTCCCATCGAGGGGACGATGGGTTGGACTGTAAAATCCAAATCATCGAACAAACAGAGTTCATTGATGACCAGACGTTTCTTCCACATCGGAGTACGAACCTGCAGCCATACACCAAACGTGCGGCAGCAACCAAGCTCCAGTCGGCAGAGAAGCTTATGTACATCTGCACGGACCAGCTGGGCTTGGAGCAGGACTTTGACCAGAAGCAGATGCCTGATGGGAAGTTAAACATTGATGGCTTTCTGCTCTGCATTGATGTTAGCAAGGGTTGCAATAGGAAGTTTGATGACCAAATGAAGTTTGTCAACAGCCTCTACTCCCAAATTGTCAAGTCAAAGAAGCCTATTGTCGTCGCTGCCACAAAATGTGATGAGTGTGTGGACCAGCACCTGAGGGACCTGCAGGCCTTTGTTGCCAGCAAGAAGAACCTGCTGCTAATTGAAACGTCGGCACGCGCCAATGTCAATGTGGAGCTCAGCTTCAATGCCCTCATCCAGCAGCTGGATAAAACAAGGGGGAAGCCAAAAACTGTGCCATACCTGGAGGCCTATAAAATCCAACGGCAGCTTGTTGCATCAGTAACAGATAGATTTGAGAAATTGATGTTGCACACGCTGAGAGATTACCACACCACGTGGAAAACGGTGGTTAATAATCTGAAGGGCCAATCAGACTATGACGAGTTCATCACCTTGGAGGGCACCAAGAAAGCACGCAACATGTTCACAAAGCACATTGCACAACTGAAGCAGGAGCACATCAAGAGGAGGAGGGAAGAGTACCTGACGACACTACCGAAAACCCTTAACAACCTCCTCAATAACCTGGAGGAGGTTGAACACCTCTCATGGCCCGAGGCACAGAGCGTAATCCGGAACCGGCATGATTTCCAGTACTGGTTTGTGGTTCTGGAGCATACGCCGTGGAATGAGACGGATCACATCGACAACAGTGACCGAAGGATACCCTTTGACCTTCTCGATACGCCCGACGGTGAGAGAATTTACCATAACCACGTCCAGCACCTGCTGTCTGAGAAGAGAAGGGTGGAGATGAAAGAGAGGTTCAAGAAGACGCTGGAGAGGGTTCATTTTATCAGTGCAGGGCAGCCTTGGGAGGAAGTCATGTGCTTTGTCATGGAGGACGAGGCCTATAAGTACATCACAGAATCAGATAGGAGGGATGTTTATTGTAGACACCAGCAGGAAATAGTTGAAAGGGCCAAAGAGGATTTTCAGGAAATGCTTTTTGAGCATGCTGAGCTCTTCTATGACTTGGATCTGAATGCCACCCCCAGCTGCGATAAGATGAGCGAAATTCACAGTGTGCTCAATGAAGAGCCCAGATACAGAGCGCTGCAGAAACTTGCCCCAGATAGAGAGTCGCTCCTCCTCAAACACATTGGGTTTGTTTACCATCCCACTAAGGAGACATGCCTGAGCGGGCAGAACTGTGTGGATCTGAAAGTGGAGCAGGTTTTAGCAAACAGGCTGGTGCAGCTCGACCATGGACGCTCTAATCTCTACTATAACAGTGCCAACATTGATAAGATCAACCTCTGCCTCCTGGGAAGGGAGGGTCTCTCACAGGAACTAGCCAATGAGATCCGAGCTCAGTCCACAGATGATGAGTACACCCTGGACGGTAAAATTTATGAACTGGAGCTTCTTCCCGTGGATGTCAACTCCACGCTGCTCTTCAGCCATACATGGGTCAACACTTTCAAACCACACGGCTGCTTTTGTGTGTTCAACTCCATAGAGTCCCTCAACTGTATTGGAGATTGCATAGGCAGGATCAGAGCGGAGATAGCACAGAGTAGGAGAGATAGGTTTGCTCAGCCACTACCATTCATTCTCATCCTGGCAAATCAGAGGGACAGTGTTTGCAAAAATATACCTATCCTGAGGCACCAGGGCCAACAGCTAGCAAACAAGTTGCAGTGCACCTTTGTGGACATCCCCACTGGGGCTTTTCCACGTAAATTCACAGAGTTCCAAATTAAGCAGGGTCTCCGAGCAGTGCTGGAGGGGCTAAAGCATAACTTTGATGTCTTGGCCCCACTGCCATCTATCAAAGACATGTCAGAGACAGACCTTAGGATAGTCATGTGCGCCATGTGCTGGGATCCCTTCAGCGTTGACCTCATCCTCTCACCTTTCCTAGACTCACATTGCTGTAGCGCGGGGCAGCCAGGCCAGAGTAACACACTTATACTGGACAAGATCATCGGGGACAGCAGGAGGAGGATCCAGGTCACTGTCCTCTCCTTCCACTCTGCTATCGGGGTCCGCAAAGATGAACTGGTGCACGGCTACATTTTGGTCTACTCTGCCAAGCGCAAGGCTTCAATGGCAACCCTGCGGGCGTTCTTGGCCGAAGTCCAAGACGTGATCCCTGTCCAGATGGTGGCGATCACAGACAGTCAGGCAGACTTCTTTGAGAATGATGCCATCAAGGAGTTGATGACGGAGGGCGAGCACATTGCCACAGAGATTGCTGCCAAGTTCACAGCACTCTACTCACTGTCACAGTATCATCGTCAGACTGAGGTTTTTACACCCTTCTTCAATGAAGTGCTCGAGAAAAAGCCGAACATTGAGAGTTCCTTCCTGTTTGACAGCTCGTCACGGGAGTGCACGACTGGTGCCAGTGAAGACGTCTTCCCCACTTCCCCACATAGCCATTCCCCAGCCTACAACACCTATTACCCAGAATCTGATGATGATAACGAGGCCCCCCCACCTTACAGTCCAATAGGTGATGACGTTCAGCTTCTCCCCACACCCAGCGAGCGGGCCAAGTACCGGATCGACCTAGAAGGCAATGAGTACCCAGTCCATAGCACACCTGTTGGAGACCATGAACGCAACCACAAAGTGCCTCCACCTGTCCGGCCCAAACCAGTGCTCCCCAAGCCCAATGTTAAAAAGTTGGACCCCAACCTGCTCAAAACCATCGAGGCAGGCATGCGAAGCAATCGTAGAATGCCACGTGGCCCAATGAGTCACGCCGAGGACGTGGAGGCGTCGGACAACTATGCAGACCCTGTGGACACCTTGCTAAGGTCCAGGGGCTTCCACAATGATGACATATATGCTGTGCCTGATGACACACACAGCCGTCTGGTCAAAATAAGAAACTCCTTTGGCGGACTACATGGCCTCCATGGAGGAGAGGAAGAGAATGGATTTGACAGGAAGTCTCAGGCTGGACGGCGGCCGTCCAAATACAAACATCGCTCTAAAATCTTGTTCAGCAAGACGAAGGCTTACCAAAGACGATTCCACTCTGACAGCGACGGGGAGGAGTCTGGCCCCGCCACACAGAAAAAGAAAAAGGGAAGAGCCCACCGGGGCAGCGAGGAGGACCCACTGCTGTCCCCTGCCGACCCCTGGAAGACTGGGATAGATAACCCCGCCATCACCTCCGACCCTGAGCAGGAGGACAAGAAGATGAAGAAGAAGAAGACGCCCAAGACGCCAAAGGAACCGAAGAAGGTCAGTGTTATCTGTCATGGATCTGACTTTAGCAGAGTTTTAATGTCATGTCTGTTTATATGCCTGCTTTTAGCATACCGGGCGGTTCCAAAGTGCTTTATAGAACAACACAAGACTGAAAGAAACAAGACAGCAAAGATATTATTGTCTCCAAAGCTTTCTGGGGTTGAGTGACTGAAAGAGAGCTTCAGTGCATTGAATATGAGCGAGAGAATGAGGGACTGTATGTGAATGAGAGCAGAAGAGATTGTGTAGAGTAGTGTGCGGGGACAAGCGTGTGGGTGTGAGATATGAGCAGATTTCTGTTTTTAATAGGCCAGGGACTCACGGTGAGAATAAACTAATTTGATAATTGATTGATCGGCCCCGCTGCTGGAATGGTTTATGAGCCTCCCCACCTTTCAGGCCCCAGACAAGCAATAAAAACCTTGATAAAGGACGCACTGTTAAAGACAGTAGGGCTCTGTCTGTATAATCTCAGAGCAGAGGCCGCATCCGCGATACGATGCCTGCTTATCCTTTACAACAGCTCTCTAAAGGCTTGTCTGAGACTGCTGTGTGCATACACGAATAAGTAAGTGCATTTGATTTGGCCGAAAGAAACACTGTATACATACAGTAGGGTAATGAAAAATAGCACTTTTCTGTAGACAAACACACGTACACATGTGGTAGGTTGAGGGTTTCTAGTTCGATTCCTAGCTCCCCCAGTCCAGTTGAAGTGTCCTTGGGTAAGATACTGAACCCCAAATTGCTCCCGATGGTGTGTGAGTGAGCTTAGTATCATCATGAGCGCTTTGGAAAGGAAGCGCAGTATCACTCCTGATGAGCAGCCAACAGTGTATGAATGTGTGTGTGTGTGTGTGTGTGTGTTGGAAAGTGCTTTAAGTGGTCGGTAGAAAAGGGCCGTATAGATAAAAAGGTCCAAGAAACATGTTTACATATAGAAAACGCAGTTAAAAGCATACATTAGCATACAGTGAATGTACACACACCCACTCATACGAGTGCTCATTCACCCCTACTACACACTACGCTCTCCTAACAAATTACTTAGAAGTACATTCACATTAGAGATAAAAGACTGAAATCTAAAATTGTAATAATATTTTAAAGTCAGTGCTAGATGCTCAAAATGGATCCTCTCAGCATTGTTAAAACAAACAAATCTTAATCAGGGACACGTGAATTTGATTAAAACTGTTTGTATTCACTTAAATAATCTATGATAATGATAATAATATAATACACAACCTAGATGTTGGCACGTGTGTGTGCATAAACACACTTAAATATGAGTGAGCATGCTGGCACGAATCCGATAACAGCGTGCAAATCAGTATAGAAACAGCCGCCGGCGCTACATGGGCGTCATGAATGCTGGGCATTGTTGGTACATTCAGACTGCCTTTGATAATCAGAGAGGAGAGCGAACAGAGAAACCCAACAAGGTACAAAATGGAAGGTGTTTAGTCGCCGTCCTGGCCAATTAGAGAGGAGACTGAACTGCTGTAGGCATGACAACACTTTGAAGAGCAGGGGAGTGTGGGAAATCAAAGCCACCTCGCCACCTCGCTACTCGTCCCAGCTTCGGTTCTTGAATAATGGTTTTGTCTGTTGTCTTCTTTCTTCTCGTCTTCCTCCACATGGACCTCCCTCTGCTTTCCTTCCTCTCTCTCCCTTCATCCCACTAACTTTCTTTCTGATCTATTTCCCGATTGCCCTCCTCCTCCTCCTTTTCTTCTTCTCTGATATGTTCTGCCTTCCCATCACCCTCTCTCCTCCTCCATTTCTGGACTCCCTTGTGTATTTTTCTCAATTCCCTCTTCTGTCTACCTCCTCATGCTTTTACATTTCTCCTTTAAACTTATTTTCCCTTTCCCCTGTCTCCCTTTTTCTTTCTACTCCTCTATTATTATCATCCCATCCGACTCTCGTTTCTCCTACATCATCCCTCAATCTCTTAAACTTGCTGTTTCTTGTTTTCTTCATTTTTACTTCCCAATTCTTCTCCTTTTTCCTAATTTTCTCCCTCTTGTTTCTCCTCCTGTCCTCCCTTGTTTGTCATCCTCTTGCCTCTGTCCTCTTCCTTCTTTTATTACTACTCTAACAATCTCCATCTCATCTCTTCCCCCCCTTACAGCCGAAATCTTCCAAGCCCCCCAAGCCTCTGTACCCCCCCACCCGGAGAACCTGGGAGAGCAACTACTTTGGCGTTCCCCTGCAGAACCTGGTGACCCTGGACAGACCCATCCCACTCTTCATCGAAAAATGTGTCGACTACATCGAGCGCACAGGTGAGTCATGCGTTTTTGTCAGTTTCTCTCTCTCTCTTTCTCCGTCCCTCTCTCTTCTGATGCTTTTGTTCCTTTTCTCTCTCCCACTCTCTGCTGCCTGTGCGTTCAGGTGCAACCAAGCTCTCTCTGGTATTTTGTAACTCTTGTAAGGTACAGCTGGTTTGTTGTTACATGCAAAAGCTTTGTGGTTATTCGCTGTGAAAATGCCTCTCATGTCTTTCCAAATGAGTAACTGAACGATAGAAGGAGAATGGATGGGGGGGATGATTCGAGGTGGGGATGGGGGAAGTGCATGAATCAAAATTCTAGGAAGGTTCACTTCTTAGAAGCTCTGATGTCACCCTTCAAACATGTTTTGTCTGGTCTGTCAGCCAGCCCGCCAGGCTGCCACTCAATACAAGTCAATTTCAATTCGATGAGCTTTATTGGCACGGCATTTGATGTGTTGCCAAAGCACTGCCGGGATGATTACAAAATAAGATGGTAAAAGATTACCGAGATCAAAGAAGCGATTGAGGATGAGATTTACACAGGTATGTGGCATTAATCAACCCTACACAAGAAGCTAGAAAAGAAAATGAGATGGTACCCGTAAGGACATGTAAGAAAAATTGCATGTGTGAAAAAGTTTAGGAGTGGCTTGTGAAACAGTTCTGCACAAAAATTGGTATAACAGCAAAACTAAATGCTCAATATTTGCTGGTAACAGCTTCTCAAATGTAAGGTTGTGCTGTTTTTCTTTGATTTATATCCTTGTAATTCAATATCTCTAGGTTTTGTGGACTCTAAATTGAACTAAACAAGCAATTTGAATAAATCACTTTGGGCTCTGGGAAGTTGTGATTGGATTTGGCAGATTTATCAATAGTGAAAACAATCATTAGGTGCAAACATAGCTGAAAGTAACACCCTGTTACTCTCTCCCATCAGTCGGCCTCAAGGTCAAAGGATATTAGCCGTGTCTTTGTCATCCCCAGAGTCAGAGTCCTGGTCGAAGCCGCTGTGATTCACCTTGGTTCTGTCAAACTTGTTGAAATAAACCTTGAATTGAGTTAGACGTGAAAATATTTTTGGCTCTGCAGTTGTTTTTCCTCTCACTCATTCTTTGCCTCAGTACGTGTACTGTGCTGCTCGTTCTTCAGAGGCAGAACATTGAATTTGCAAAATAAAATTACAAAAATTGTCTAAAAAAAACAACTGATAATATCTGTATCTTGAGATGCCGTTGAGCAAGGCTCATTGGCCCAATTAACTGCTTTGAAACTGCACAGTTGGCCAACTGCAGAAGTCAGTGGTTGTATCAGGTTGTATTATTCTGGATAAATAAAGTTGCAAGATAAGACATGCAGCTTGTTGTAGCTCCAGCTGCTGACGCAGACACCCGGTGCATGCTGGGTATGTGTCTGGCTTCTGCCCCAGCTGTCGTAAAGAAGGCCTCCCCCAAAGTCTGAGAAATTCCTCAGTGAAGTCATGGCTCAGTCTGATAGATATTTATACACCGTGTGCTGGACACTTTATCCTGAGTGTTTATTTTCTTTTATGAAAGACCGCAGTGAGATTCAAACCCACAACCCTGCCAGATTTGAATGCCTTGCTCCTCACATTTATCCATACAAGGAATAACTCTTCCCCTCTGTCGATTAAAGATCCAAGCAGCTACTCAAACTGTTACTTTTTTCCTTCTCACCACAGAAATGAATATTTTAAACATGTTTAATATTTGATGAGCTTGTTGCATAATGTATTTACTCATGGTCCGGTGCTCTTTTTCCATGTTTAGTGCCTTTGAATAAGCTCTAAGAAGCAAAAGTGTCTCTTGCTGGAAGACCTCAAAGTAACTTTTCAGTCAAATTCTAGAAAATATCTGATGACGTGATATTTTTGCTGGCGCCTGTTTGTGGGTTCACAGGGGGATAGTGTTGGCTCAGGCATCAGGTGTAGCATTTGTTAGCTAGAGAGTGGCTCTTTAATATTTTTGCATTGTGTTTTGAGGACAGTTGTTTTGTAGTCGTACTCTCTGTGGCTAAATGAATGCATGAACCCTTCAGCTGACTGAAAACACATGTCTTATCACCTTATTCCCTACTCTCTCCTCTTTCCTCCTCCATCTGAAGCCATATGTGCTGCAAATGTAAAGCATGTCCATTAAAAGGAGGTATTTCCTGTGTTCCTACCGACGAGTAAGTGTTCGGTTCTGTTTTGAAGGTTTGTGTCTGAGCTCTTTTCGTTCTGGGGCTGTTAATTCCTGTCCTGAAAATCCCTCCCGAATATGTTTTGATATTCAGCTGGATCTACATGAGCCCGTTGGTGGCTGCCAACCAAATTTAGGATTAATCCCAGCGCTGTATGTGTGTGGATGTGCGTGTGTTTGCGGACGCCTGCCAGCTGACAGCAGTGTATTGGAGATTTCATGGCTGGTACCGTGAAACCCTCTAAGTCCAGACGGTCTGTTGGGTGGAATTAACAGCTTTCCCCCTCCCTTCTTTTTGTGGAATATCATTTCTCACCAGACACAGCGAGAACATCTTTGTACTTTTTTTTTTTTTAAAAGCCTGCTGTTGTATAAGGTGCTTCATAACCAGACAATTTAAGGGCTTTTACAACTTGATGAGACATTTCAGCTCGTTTCTTTCTTTGGGAGCCTAGGTAGGGATTGTGGTATTCTTCATAAACAGTCTGGTTGCCTTGGTAGGAGTTTAATCTGTCTGTATAACATATTTGAGCTTGTAGCTCAGAGGGTGGGGTCATCCTGTGAATGTAGAGAGTTGTAAGTGATTGTGGGTGTTAGCACGATAACTTAGTGGTTAGATAGACCCTCCTTTAGTGGAAAAAACAGTCTGCAGAGATCCACCCTTCTAATGTCTGCTAAAATAAGATACCGAATCCCTGCCATCTGCAGAGCTGCTGCTCTATCTGACCTCTGACCCCTGAGCGTTGTGGGACGAAAGAGACCGTCCCGAAGGAAATCATTAAAACATCACCATTATATTGTGTTGTTGTTTTTTTCCATCAGACACCAGACACTTGTCACATTAATTGGGGGTGAAAGTCAAAGTGTTAAACCTTCCCTTTATGGTGGTCCGTTTAATAGCGTTTCTTTTTCAGGAAAAATATTCCCAGAAAAGGATTTGTTTTATGTTTCTGGTCTGAGGCTGAGAGAGTCGCCTACAGAAAGTCAAACGTAATCAGTTTAAGGAAAATAATGCTGTAATACCACCCACACTGTTTGAGGCGCAGCATAGATATTACTCAAAGCATGGTCGAGCTGAACGACTGTACTACTCTACTATATCTAACCTCAGTGCTTTTCTTTAGTACTGACTGAAGCACGAGTAGAATGCAATGTTAGACTAATGTTAGACACAAATAACAATTTGAAGCTCTCACTTGGAGTTTTTGGTGAATTGTGGTGGTTCATTTTCTTCCTTTTGTAGACATTTTATTGACCAAACAGTTAATTGATGAACCATAAAAAGAACAAATAATGATCATTTTGATTATTAATGAAAATGCTGAGTGTTTCTTGATTAATAACTTGCTCTATAATATGTCAGAAAGTAGTGAAAAAGGCACCTTACTATAACTCAGAACCAAAGGTGACACTGCTATTATTTGTTTTGATACTTTTTGACTCAAAGACATTCAATTTACCATCATAGATGACAAATATCAGCTTAAACCCAGATTTTTTGGGGGGCTTTTCTGCTTTAACAATAACATAATCTGTTATTAAAATAATTCCTGGTTAATCTTCTGTTGGCAGACTAATGGATTAATCAATGAATTGATTCAGCTCTTCACAATAAAAATGAATCTTAGTTGCAGCCCAAAGTACGGTGGCTGTGTTTTTTTTTTTTTTTGGTTGCAGCGAGGAGCGGTAATCTCCGGGAGGCCAGGCTGCTGGTTGGTTTAGTTTAACCACATGTAATAAGCTGCCAGCCGAGAGGCACAGAGGCAGAGAGGTGATGATAGCTGTTTGTGGTGCCTTTGGTTAGAGACCAGAACGTGTGAGAGGAAAAACTGTGACTTTATGTGTGTGTGAGACGGAGCGTGGCTGGAAGTGTGAAGACGTGAAACTGTGATTCTGTGTGTGACCTTTATTTGGTGGATTTGTGTAAGTGATAAGACTGTGACATGTGGTGTGTTCGTCAGCTCCTTCCAACCTGGTGGCTTTAATGCAGATCTCATATATTTTCTGGAGTTTTTATGGTGGAAACTCAAGTTGACATTTTCCAGGAATCGGCTAATTAAGCGCACGTCTGTGTCAAGAGTTTTGTTTTAAGTGTGCAGCGTCGAACTGTTCAAGAAACTCTGAGATAAAATGCTGCCATTAAATAAGGATGGTGCTTGTTCTGTGCTGGCTGCCTCTGTTTCCTGTGAGGAGAGATCTGCTTGTTATCATTTTTAGGACGTTCCAGTCATCACATTCTAATTATAATGCAACTAACAGGCTTCCCGAGGGCCCTGCAAACCCCTTAAAGGTTTGTAGATTTGAAGAAAAATGAAACAAAGCCTTCAAGGTCTCTGAAAAAGAGTGGATGCGCTTGAAAACACTGTTTTAAATTAAAACGTAGCACCAAGTCCCAAGGATGTTTTAACTGCTGGTTATGGGCTTAAGATTACACATTTGAGCTTAGACATTTTAAAACGTGTAATTGTGTTACCTCAGAAAATGACAAATAGAAGGTTTTTTTTTTTTATGTAAAAAGACCTAGAAAAGCATTGTCCTTGAACATGTCGGCCAAGGTGATTGCAATGTGATAAGTGTGTCCTTATGGAGAAATCCCTTGTAATGTGATTCACAGAGCTGTTTCTCTGTACTGTAGATTACAGCTCTGTACCACATTATTTTTCGAAGCCTCTCATTTTTTTGTGCCATTCAGCTTACTATCTGATTCTTCCTCAGCTTACAGTTAAGCTTTTAGGACCTTTCTATCCATCACCCATCCATGTGTGCTGGCGTCCCTTTTTATTATACTCATGGATCAGTGGTTAGACAT